TCTCTCTCTCTCTCTCTCTTTCTCTCTTCGACCCTCACTCTGTCTTTCTCTGCCTGTCCTCTCTCTCTCTTTCTCTGTCTCTCTCTCTCTTTCTCTCTCTTTCTCACTCTCTCTCTCTCTTTTTCTCTGTCTCTCTCTCTCTCTCTCTCTCTCCCTCTCTCTCTCTCTTTCTCCCTCTCTCTGTCTCTCTCTCTCTCTCTTCCAGTGAGTCTGTTCTGCCAGTCCGTATGTCTGTGATTACCAAACCACCGACCACACACACGTCTGACATCCTGACATCCCTCCCTAGCCTCTGTCCCCTTACGTTCATATACCCTCCTCCCCTCCCACTCCTCTCCCTTTCCCCTCCCTCTCCTTTCCCAGTTCCCCCTCTGTGTGTGTATGAAGATATATATGTATATATATGGGGGCTCTCGTGGCCTAGAGGTTACGGTGTTGGCCTCTCATTCAAAGGTCCCGGGTTCGAATCCGGGTAGTGACCGAAAAAAACTCTTCTCTAAATTTGTCTCCTTTCACCTCCTTTCCTGCTCTCTAGCAAAGATCTGTCGTCTGCTTTTGTCTCCTCTTTCTGCCCCCACCCCCTCATCTCCTTTGCCCCCCTCCTCTGGGCTCCTGATTCTTTCTGCAGCCTTTCTACTGCTACTCCTTGGCTTCTTCTTACTGCTGTTCAAAAAATCTCGGAGGGCCCGTGTGCAAGTTGCGCACGTTAAAGATCCGTTGGTGGTCTAAAATCGATGAGAGTAGGATTCTGCAGCCACCTGTGCAAAAATCCAAAATTTCCTACCAAATGAAAAAGTTTAATGTGTCCCGCGCGCTCATATGACCTTATGCAGTTGCGAGCGCCGTAAAACACTGACTTACAAAAACAAAAACAATAAATATATAATATACCGATATTATAATGTTTTCATATCTGTCCGTTTACGTAGATAGCTAGCTAGCTAGCTAGCTAGATATAGATAGATAGATAGATCGATAGATAGATAGATAGATAGATAGATAGATAGATAGATAGATAGATAGATAGATATTTTAAAAAGGATAGGATGAGAAAGGTAGATCTCAACCCAAACGAAAACAAAACAGGGCTATCAGAAAAAAGCCACACAGGTTGAAAGCGAAGTTTTCAGAACATGATATATTCACGTCACTTTATAAATCAAGGGAATCTTTTTATTGGCCGTGTATGGGTAGATGTTCTATTATACTTGAAAGACAGAAAAGAAGGCTCCTTTGCTTACTGCTGTTTTGGAATGTAATAACAATCAAACAGAAAACGCTATCCAATTTTACCCACAACATGCTTCAAAACGCAAACTCAGCCTTGCCTGTGGCGATCTATGACATTGATTCATCCCAATGCAAGCGGATGTATAGATATACTTTTGTCTATCTGTCTGTGGCCATTGATCTATCTATCTATCTCTTTCTATCTTTCAACGCCTTATCTGTCTATAAACGTATCAAGCT